CCCTTAGCTCCCTGGGCATTTTGGAGCGGTGTTGCAAGCAGATGGTCACGGGCTCAAATCCTGCCAGGGGCGTGCTGAGCCCGCGACAATCTGTCCTAACCATATCAACGCCCCATCATGTTTCCAAGTCCTATGAACCTTAGCGTTCGTACACCCCCCATGGGCCTCAAGTGATAGTAGAGTCCATCTAGCAAGTTCCTGGATGTGGATTGATCCAGCATCTTCGCAGTCATTTGATCCGTCCGATGATTGCTGGTTTTGCTTTTTGGATCTGCTTTGAACATGTGAAATGTGAAGCTTGAGCCTCGCGACCTGAACGTCTATGAGTTTCTGGATCGTGCTTTGGGATCCAGTCGTGTGCGGAGCCATGCCTCTTCTCCAGTTCCCAAACTAATGTTGATGTCTTCAGCATCTATTTCTGTGACATGTGACTCTCGGTGCTTAATGAAAGCACTGCCGCATGGACAGGACATGCTTGTTTTTCGAATGTTGCTCTGATTCACTGGTGTTGATGTGGCTTAGTACAGGTTTGTGCAGTGTGGTTTGCCGATCAACAGGCTAAAGTGAAACTCTCCCCGTCGTCAACAATCTTGTTCGCAGCAAACATCGGTACACTCAGGGGTGAGGCTACTTCCGTACACTTGAGACCTGATAGTAGCGTCCATCTAGCAAGTTCCTGGAGCCAACGCATGTGCCCTTGAAGTCCAGTGTTTGAATCCAGGGTACTTGAAAAAGGGTCAAGAATGATTGGACTATAAATGCAGCGACGGGGTAGCAGTAGAAATTCGAGTGGGAACCACGTCCCGCCTTCACAGGTGCGACAAAGGCTTTCTATAAAGCCTGTGTGGTTTGGAGTTTGGTGAGTTAGCCAAGTGGTGCTGCGTTTTGAAAACAACTCGTTCAACTCATTCCCATCCACAGAAATTTCCGAAGTACGACCAATTACTGTCACGCTGCTATCTAGCAAACTGCGCATGCCTTAGTACTCGGAGCATTGCAGCATTGGAAAGCAGGGCGGCCAAAAAGATGTTCTCACTCAGCCGGCCAAGGGTTACTAGACTTAACCTGAGAAACAGCTTTCGAGCTGCGCCGCACAAAAACGTCATCTTTCAACAGCGACGTCGCCGATAGACTCGATAGACGTCAGGGTCGGCCATTCCCAGCAACCGGATGCAACGAGTTTGGATCTATCCGGATCTTCAAACCCCAAGCCCCACATAACAAGTGGAAAGTTGTCTTGACAAATGTGTTTGTTTTGCAATGAAGAAACGTGCCAGTGTTTTTGCCAATGCCAAGCAACCGGTATTTTACCAAAAAAGGCTGCATGTTTCATCACGATGGTCGGCGCCAAAAGCACTGTCACTAAGATACGTTTCTGGCTGGATTCGGTCAGACATCGCTGCGTCTCGTAGCGACCAAAATGCTGCAGCCCATGTGTTCCTGTCCGCCTCCCTTCAAATTTAGCCCCCAAGACCCAATTTGGGAGGGGATGTGGGCTGAGTGTTCAATAGCATGTGTTGAGGCTAGGGCTCAATGGTCCTTATTTGTTCCCATGTAGGTTTGTCAACGCTTCACGAGACTATCTGATATGAAGCAGGTCTGAAGCCTTGAAAAGACTCAAAAAGGCCCAAGCAGACCTCAAATCATATTGAAATCTCAAAAGACTTCAAAGGGCTTTTGTATCCCAAGTCAAGCAAAACTTCAATACGCGATAATAAGCATGAGTAAGCGTTAAGAAGCCTTAGATCTTCCGAACCAAGAATTCAACAGAATAATGCGGAAGCAACAAGAACCTTCAATATGCACGGCAAGACAGCTTAAACATGTTGAGTTTGAGGGGGCCATTTTTGACCCAAGTTCGTTGCGAACCTACGGCAGCGGAATCAACGTGCTCCTTTCCGGGGATCCTGGTCTCGTGTCGCCCAGAGGGAAGCCGATCCACTCGAAGATGCAGTCACTTGATATTGGGATCAGCAAGAATGCGGTCGCTTTTTTAGATGTTGGTTTAACCACACCATGTCACTACGCGACCACCCGCCTGCCTAGCCAAATAAAGTCAGGGCCCTTGTCCGCCACAGAAAGGACGAAATTTGCAGGAGCTGTTTTTCTTTGCAGGGAGAGTGTAGCAGTGTAGGCTGTCCCTGGAAGAATAGCGGATGTTTTCATCTCTTTTGAAAAGCCTTCTCTGTCACATTGTGCATGCGGAAGTGCTCAAAATTTTGGCGGCAGCGTTGGAAACCTCTAGGTTGTTAGAATTTAGTCCTGGGTATGAGGCAAAACCCTAGATGAGTTTGATCTCACCAACAAAGAACGACCAGTTCTAAACTTGATGAGGTTTTCATGCACATAGTAAAGGCCGCGGGATAAGGTGCTATAGTTCTGAGGTCCGGATTTCCTTTCAAAGCGTTGTGAGTGTTGCGCGTCCTGAACGCCAAGTAGAAGGAACTAAAGGAGGTAAATTTCAATATGTATGTGTTGTATGCTTGGCTGATGCTCAACGACAGCTAGTCAGCTGCACACCGGGAACGGCTAGCCTTAGTTCAGGGGCTACGAAAACACCAAGAGTTCAGAAGAATAAAGTATTGAGAGATTTGTGCGGAACATATTGCGGAAGAGAATGGCTGTATACAGGAATCGTCAGAGGGTTCTGAACACCGCTCACATGTTTTGTTCAAGATTCACCTGTGATATGAGGGCCATCAAATGACTAGCTGTCTCCAAATCTTTCACGTCAATCGCAGTTCCCAACATGTTCACATCAGGTGTTCACGTCAGGCTGTTTGAACATGTTTGATCCAATGCTTGTGATAGAAGCAGACTTAAGTCGTAGAGGCTCCAAACGACGCCGTTCGCCTCGCTTGTTTTTCGAGCGCGCGCTTTGGCGCGAATAAACGTGCGCATTGTTGCGAAAACGTGCGCTTTGTAATGCAAATGATGCCCTTTCTACAAAGCACGCCGCCAAAAAGTGAACCGTGCCATTTGCAGCAAAACATGTCCAAAGCACGACGTTGCATCCTCTAATTAGAAGACCTTCGGAGGTGGGTCCGTGAGTTGAAGTTGCGCCTTACAAGCTTTGTGCTCCAAAAGCTGCTTCAAACCTGCACAAGCTATAGATACTATAGACTTGAAATGACTTGAACACATGAAAACATCACAACCCCTCCAAAGTCTTCCTCCATTGTTGCACGTGGGGCATCAAGCCTGAGGGTATTCCAGTTTTCCAGTCTTCGGCAAACATTTTTTGATTATCACAGCTAATCGAGCAATTCTAAGACTTTCTAACACTTGGTGCCAAAGGACAGTTCCCCTAGCATCATGTCTGCCAAGTTCCATACAACCGTTCCAAATTGGGAGATCCGTTGTATCTGCAACTTCAAGCGTTCAAAAATGGTCTTTATTGAGAATTCCCAGCTAAACAGTGGCCTCACGCATTCGCAAAATGAAGCAAGGTGCGTGAGGCCGAACATGCATCCAGAAAAAAATTGGGAATGGACAACGTAGTCCGTTTGCGCTTTTGGAGCAAGTTGGTTGTTCAAGTACATCTGCGAAAGATGTCATTCCAATTTGAATCCACGGAACGACACACCGCTGAAGCCTGTAGCCTTCGCATTGAGACATAAGCGCGCTCAGATTTGCATCGGCATCCGGAGAAATTGATGACGATGCTCCGATGGTTTGCCAACAAGATCGCCTTTTATTGAGTGGCCAATATTTTAAACCAAGATGCAGAGCTAGATGGTTCCTAAAGAACTGAGGCATTTTGTGGTCGGGATCTGATGGACGCTTTTCGTGTTGAAAGTCTTGACAAGTGACGTTTAGGTGTGCAAAAACAAAAATGGACAAACATTATAGCTGTTAGACATGAGAACGACAGCATTGATTCACAGTTTCGGGACGCAGGTTCGGGGCACTGCGTTTAGTCCAAATGTCATCGTTGAGCACCTGCATTTCGAAAGCTCTCAGTCCTGCTGCAGTGAGAATCGTCCGTGCTGAATGACATCAGACGCAAGTTGCTGTCACCTTGAGATTTGTCGGACGACGATCGTTCACTGCAGGATGGTTCATCCGTTTGTACCATGGAAAGAACAGACAATTCTGCAAGCGGGTTCGTGCTGGCAGGAATTTTTTCCTGACCCTGTGCCCGAAAAAATGACCCCTCTAGGAAATTTATTGAGCCCCAACTTTGGTATTTTCAAAGTTCAAGGGGGTTGTCCCATGGAACAATATTCAGCGACACTGGGGTTGAAACCAAAGAAAAGTGTGGAGTTTCTCGGAGCGGAGTTTGTTGGAGACTTGCAAAGGGATAAACAGGACCTTGGCCACTGGAACTTTGTCCAGAGATGTTTGCCCCCGTGGTCCCAAAATTGATTCTGGATATTTTTTATGTACCATGTACGCCTGGGGGTTGTGCCCTTTTTTGGGAATGGACATTTATTCCGAAAAAAGCTTAAGGCCCCAAGAAATTTATCCGGGATAAATTTGGGTACAACCCCCCATAGGCACCACACATGGGGATATCCTGCCAAGGTGTCTTGTCTCAAAGACCAATTGCTACAACTTGCAAACATTGAAGTTGCGCCCAGTTTTTCATCCGTTCACAGTTTCGGGACGCAGGTGCGGAGCACTGCGTTTAGTCCAAATGTCATCGTTGAGCACCTGCATTTCTAAAGCTCTCAGTCCTGCTGCAGTGAGAATCGTCCGTGCTGAATGACATCAAACACTAGTTGCTGTCACCTTGAGATTTGTCGGACGACGATCGTTCACTGCAGGATGGTTCATCCGTTTGTATCACGGAAAGAACAGACAATCCTGCCAAGGTGTCTTGTCTCAAAGACCAATTGCTACAACTTGCAAACATTGAAGTTGCGCCCAGTTTTTCATCCGTTCACAGTTTCGGGACGCAGGTGCGGAGCACTGCGTTTAGTCCAAATGTCATCGTTGAGCACCTGCATTTCTAAAGCTCTCAGTCCTGCTGCAGTGAGAATCGTCCGTGCTGAATGACATCAGACGCTAGTTGCTGTCACCTTGAGATTTGTCGGACGACGATCGTTCACTGCAGGATGGTTCATCCGTTTGTATCATGGAAAGAACAGACAATTCTGCAAGCGGGTTCGTGCTGGCAGGATTTTTTCCTGACCCTGTGCCCGAAAAAATGACCCCTCTAGGAAATTTATTGAGCCCCAACTTTGGTATTTTCAAAGTTCAAGGGGGTTGTCCCATGGAACAATATTCAGCGAGACCGGGGTTGAAACCAAAGAAAAGTGTGGAGTTTCTCGGAGCGGAGTTTGTTGGAGACTTGCAAAGGGATAAACAGGACCTTGGCCACTGGAACTTTGTCCAGAGATGTTTGCCCCCGTGGTCCCAAAATTGATTCCCCAAGGCACCACACATGGGGATATCCTGCCAAGGTGTCTTGTCTCAAAGACCAATTGCTACAACTTGCAAACATTGAAGTTGCGCCCAGTTTTTCATCCGTTCACAGTTTCGGGACGCAGGTGCGGAGCACTGCGTTTAGTCCAAATGTCATCGTTGAGCACCTGCATTTCTAAAGCTCTCAGTCCTGCCTGTGCAGTGAGAATCGTCCGTTCTGAATGACATCAGACGCAAGTTGCTGTCACCTTGAGATTTGTCGGACGACGATCGTTCACTGCAGGATGGTTCATCCGTTTGTATCATGGAAAGAACGGACTATCCTGCCAAGGTGTCTTGTCTCAAAGACCAATTGCTACAACTTGCAAAACATTGAGGTTGCACCCAGTTTTTCATCCGGGTTTCTTGCTAACATTGATGATGACTTGGCACTGTGAGGGGCTCTGTGGACAAGAGGATTTTTTGAAACTGAAGCATTGGAAAATGGATTCTGAATGATACCTTCTGGGAAGGGGAAAGATGTCATTACCTCGGCGAGATAGCTCCCAAAAAGCTTGCCGGATGAACCAGACTTTTACGGCTTAACTCAATGTTTTTTGCAGAGAGTGACATGGTTCATGATCAAACACTTGCAGAGTTTGGCTGTTTCCGTTTACTTCGTCGTTAGATGTCATTAGATGTCGCTAGTGGCAGATGGCACACTGTGATCCTGTCTATGCCGCACAAGGGTTCTTTATGCGCAATCCTTAAAGACAAGATCTTTCAGGGAGGCACTCCTCACGCCACATTTGCAGGTCGGATTGTGTATGTGGCGGCGGAGTTCAGTACCATCCGGTTAAACAATAAGTCAAAGATTGTGGTGTCCTCGTCTCTCATTCATGTTCCATATCCTAAGCATGTTGTTTCTGACATAGGCCCGGAAAGTGCGCATGACACCTGCATTGAGTCCTGGAAACTTCACTCCCGGGTTTGCAATGTAATGTTGCTCAGCGCTGCATCCAATTTTGCTAGAGCTTCCGGATGCCCAGCCCTCATTTGCTCACATGGGGCAAAGGCTGCTGAGGTTTCTCAGGCCGTGTAAGGATAGGGAAATATTCTTGCCACAACGACGCATGAGAGACACACGTGCCTATCTACACACTCTGTTTGCCACCTTCCACCGATTAGACCTGGAAATTGGAGCACAGAAATAGGAATCTTGGACCATGGCGGCCATGGCGACTTAGTCCATGGACTTGCTCACATGCGGTAAGACTCAGATTCTCATCCCATCCGATGGACCTTGAGGATGACTTGGGCTGACTGGGGCCGTTGTCTTTCTGCAAGCAACGGAAGCATGCCAAATCTGAGTCCGACCAGTAGCCCTGTTGCAATGCAGGATCTCGTTTGTTCCTGTTCACTTTAGGGACACCACCTGCAAACGAAGCAAAAACCTTGGTGAGAACCCTACCTCCAGAAGCTTGTTGCAGAACTGGATGAAGCGGATTTGCCGCTCGCAGCCACGTGGTTTGCTGATTCAATCGATGGAAAAACGGGCAGGGAGGATGCTCAACCAACAGACCCTCGGAGGTTTCCATGGTGACGATCCGCCCGGATGGGCAGCAAACGACACATGTCTTTAAGCAGCGCAGCGCCGCACAATGACCTGATGCTGCCAATCGCTATACTCAAGTTCTCTTGCTTCAAGTTGGTGCCAAAACCCCAACAGAGAAGCTTGGAAGGGAGTAGACACACAACAATGATTCAAGGAGAAGCTGGGATGCGGCATGACAAAGGGAACATTGTGGACAGGCATGTGGCTGTCAGAGGTTTTGATTTAAGGAAGTAAAACTGTATCAAGACTTGAAGAGCCCATTTGGTGCTCAATCTCCCAAGACGCTTGCTGTAGGCAGTGGTTGGCTGCTTTCTTGGGCGAAACGGCTAGAAATACGTCAGCTGGTTCCAGATGGGCTACGCCCTTTTCGGCGTTTCGGCGCAACCCGAAGAAAAGCGTGGGCCGCGGAACCGACATTACATGAAACTACCATTCATGCTGTGACTGGCATGTGGAGCCGTTGTTCATCGGAAGTCGTGGCAGTCTTTTTACACACAATGTCTGGCTCTTTGACTCAGCCATGAGTGTCCGAAGTCCCCGTGGTTTGTTTTACATGGTGACTAGCCCAAGGATTGCTACCGTTGGGCAATATGAGGGGAAGGTCGGAACAATGTGAGTAGTTAGCATCAAATTGAGGCACCCTAGCCATCAGTTCCCTGTTTTTGCTTTTCCCCAGATAGCAAAGCGGTTCTTACTTCAAGTATAGGACGAGTTGCACGTCTGCGTTTTGGAGCGGGCATGTTGGTGCCGCTGCAGGGTGCTGCTGTCAGAGTGGTGTGTGCGCTTTGGAGCGGGCATGCTGTGCTGGTGAAGCATTTGCAGGTTGAGAGGTGTCTCGCCCTGGGTTTCGCTGATGCGGTTCATGAGGTGGGGGGTTGCCCTGCGTGCTGTTCAGAGGTCAGGAGGGGGGCCGTAAACATTTATAGCTTCACATCATCAACGTATTGGTTGGTAGGGGGCGGGGGGCGTACAAATTTAAAGCTTCATTTAACTTGACATACCATGTCAACTTTTTTCCTACTAGCAACGTGTTGTTTTGCAGGGGAGGGGGGGCCGTAAAAAATTAAAGTTTTACTCAGCTTGACTTACCATGTATGAATTTTTACGGCCCCCGGCCCCTGTCAGACTAGCGGGCATGCTGGTGCCGCTGCCTGCAGGGTGCTGCTGCTGGTGCCGCTGCAGGGTGCTGCTTGAGGGTGCAAGGTGCTGGTTTAAGGTGCTGTGAGAGTGGTGTGTATGCTTTGGCATGCTGGTGCCATTGCAAGGTGACGCTGCAGGGTGCCGTTGCAGGGTGCTGCTGTTAGGTGGTGTGTGTGCGTGTGCTTTGGATAGGGTGTTGGTGGCGCTGCAGGGGCTGTCAGAGTACTGTGTGTCAGAGTGGCGTGTGCGCTTTTTTCAATGCGAATGATTTGTTCCGGTTTCTTAAAGGGATGCCGTGAAGCCTTTAGGGTTTTTGGTTCAAGTAGAAGAAGAGTTGCGTGGAGTTTGGGTGCTTGTGCGGCTGCAGGGTGCCGCTGCAAGGTCCTGCCGTCAGAATTATTTGTGCTTTGGAGTTCGGTTGTTGGTGCCGTTGCAGGGTGCCGCTGCAAGGTGGTGCTGTCAGAGTGCCGTTTGTGCTTTGGAGCTTGGTTGCTGGTGCTGCCGTAGGGTGCCTCTGCAGAGTGCCGCTGAAAGGCACTGCTGCCAGAGTGCTGGTTGCGCTTTAGAGTTTTGTTGCTTGTACCGCCCACTGCGAGGTGCTGCTGTCAAAGTGCCGTTTGCGCTTTGGAGCTTGGTTCCTGGTGCTTCTGCAAGGCGCTGCCAGAAAACTGCTTGCGCTTTGGAGCTTCGTTGCTCGTGCCGCTGCAGGGTGCTGCTGCAGGGTGTCGCTGCAGGGTGCCGCTGCAGGGTGCCGCTGCAGGGTGCCGCTGCAAGGTGCTGCTGTCAGAGTCTTTGGAGCTTTGTTGCTTGTGCCGCCCGCTGCAAGGTGCTGCTGTCAAAGTGCTGTTTTCGCTTTGGAGCTTGGTTCCTGGTGCCGCTGCAAAGGTGCTGCCAGAAACTTGTTTGCGCTTTGGAGCTTGGTTGCTTTGGAGGTTGGTTGCTGGTGCCGCTGCAGGGTGCCGCTGCAGGGTAACGGTGCCAGGCGCTGCTGTCAGGGTGCTGTTTGTGCTGTTTGTGCTTGTGCTTTGGAGCTCGGTTGCTGGTGCTGGTGCAAGGTGCCGGTGCAGGGTGCCGCTGCAGGTCGCCGCTTCAGGATGCCGCTGCTTTGGAGTGCTGCCCACGTTTTTCTTGCTATTTGGGGTCCCCGCTTACGTAATTTGTTTAATTACACAGTGGTTGGATACGCTCAACGTGACCAAGAACATGTTTGTTGAAAGATGACCATGTCCAGCCGTTTTGGAAGTTGTGTGATTGTTTTACATGATCTGATCGAGGCTCAAGCAGTTCTGACGTGGGCCAGGTAACATTGCAAGACAGGTACATTGTGCACGACGGATCAATCCATGGAAAGCAGTTCTTGACACATCCTAACCAACTAGCTTGCTGAGTTGGCCACTGCTTTTACCACAGGCCAGACACAGGAAGTCTCCAAGTCTTATTCTTCTTTTCAAACAACAAAGACTTCGCTTCCTGTGCTCAACATGGCTGAAGCAGAGGTCCAGAAGAGATTTGCCATTTGCTGGGCCTAATGGTATCTTTCCTGGCTAAGTGTATTAATTATTACTATTTATTATTATTATTATTGTCTTTATTGTTTTCTTTACAACACTTTACGACTGATTTTTGTTATTATTGTTTATATGTGTATGTATGAGCAAACGAAGTTTAGTTAGAAAACTTCCCAGCTACGGACGATTGTCATGGGCAGCATTCTCACCATCATGTCAACCACATCATCGTCATGTCGCCATGATGTCAACCACATCATCATGCCAACTACATCATCATCACGTAGTTGGGAAGTGTAACAGGTCGGGAACGCTTGAATTCAGGTTTGAAAAGGCTCTCGGGCGCGAAACCCTACGTTTTTTCGGGTAAAGTGGCCGTCCGTCGTCGCCGAAGTAGGGTCTCTGTTTCCACGGTTTCGAGGCTCGATCGGGCAAAGTGGTCGACAAAAAGTCCACGAGACTGTAGCAAGAGCTTGATTTTCACTTGTAAATGTGTTAAAGCTGTCACGGTGAGAGCACTTTTGGAAGATGAGGCCGACAAAACGTGCACGAGACTATAGCGAGAGCTCGGTTTCAAATAAAAAATCGTAAAAAAACTGAGGGGACCAGAGCACTTTTGGAAGATGAGGCCGGCAAAAGGTGTACGAGACTGTAGCGGGAGCTCGGTTTCACCTAAAATTCGTAAAATCCATTCATTCATTCATTCATTCGTTCGTTCGTTCATTCATTCATTCATTCATTCAGTCAGTCAGTCAGTCAGTCAGTCATTCAGTCATTCAGTCATTCAGTCATTCAGTCATTCAGTCATTCAGTCATTCAGTCATTCATTCATTCATTCATTCATTCCTTCATTCCTTCATTCCTTCATTCCTTCATTCCTTCATTCCTTCATTCCTTCATTCATTCATTCATTCATTCATTCATTCCTTCATTCATTTTCTTCCTTCTTTCATTCCTTCATTCCTTCATTCCTTCATTCCTTCATTCCTTCATTCCTTCATTCCTTCATTCCTTCATTCATTCATTCATTCATTCATTTTCTTCCTTCTTTCAGTCCTTCATTCCTTCATTCCTTCCTTCATGCATGCATGCATGCATTCGCTCATTCACTGATCATTCACTCATTCACTCATTCAGTCATTCGCTCACTCAGTCACTGACTCACTCACTCACTCACTCACTCACTTACTCAGTCATTCATTCATTCATTCATTCATTCATTCATGCCTTCCTTCCTTCGTTCGTTTGTTCGTTCATGCATGCATGCATGCCTGCCTGCCTGCCTTCCTTCCTTCCTTCCTGCATCCATTCATTCATTCATTCATTGATTGATTCATTGATTCACTGATTCATTGATTCATTGGTTCATTGATTCATTGATTCATTGATTCAGTGATTCATTGATTCATTGATTCATTGATTGATTGTTTTTTTTGTTCATTGGTTCATTGGTTCATTGGCTCATTGGTTCCTTGGTTCTTTGGTTCCTTGGTTCCTTGGTTCCTTGGTTCCTTGGTTCCTTGGTTCCTTGGTTCCTTGGTTCCTTGTTTCCTTGGTTTTGGTTCCTTGGTTCCTTGGTTCCTTGGTTCCTTGGTTCCTTGGTTCCTTGGTTCCTTGGTTCCTTGGTTCCTTGGTTCCTTGTTTCCTTGGTTCCTTGGTTCCTTGGTTCCTTGGTTCCTTGGTTCCTTGGTTCCTTGGTTCCTTGATTCCTTGGTTCCTGGGTTCCTGGGTTCCTTGGTTCCTTGGTTCCTTGGTTCCTTGGTTCCTTGGTTCCTTGGTTCCTTGATTCCTTGATTCCTTGATTCCTTGATTCCTTGATTCCTTGATTCCTTGATTCCTTGATTCCTTGATTCCTTGATTCCTTGATTCCTTGATTCCTTGATTCCTTGATTCCTTGATTCCTTGATTCCTTCCTTCATTCATTCATTCATTCGTTCATTCATTCATTCATTCCTTCCTTCCTTCCTTCATTCGTTCCTTTCATTCCATTGTTTCATTCTTGCATTCATTTTTTCATGCATTTCATTCTTTCGTTCCTTCATTTCATTTCTTTTTTCATCTTTCATTTCATTTTTCATTTCTCATTTTTCATTTTCATTTCATTTCATTTCATTTTAGTTCGCTCTTTTCCAATTCACCACCAACTCCTATAAGCAAAATGTTTCCTCTAGCCATGTCCTATTTTCGAAACTTTCGCCCCGGCGCGTGCCGTGCACTACTTGGTATATAGGAATCATCCAAACTTAGATCACTTTAGTATTGAAACCCATAGTTTTGGGGTGCCCCATTTTAGGAAAACCCCATATGTGAATATGGTGTATATATTGATATACCCCTACAAGCGTTAACATATTTAAGTCATATCTTGGGCCAAAAACCTCTCCGCGTGGGTCCGCGTCAGTGTCCGCGTCAGTGCGTAGAGGGCGGCGTAATATTATATATGTAGTTCGTGTTGTGCAGATACTGGCGCTTGGGGGGTGGCGTGAATACATGTTTTTGCATACATATATGTAGGTTTTGAATGACGAAAGGGCTTGGTTCGCAACCAAGCCGACTTGCATTGCAATGTGACATGCTGCAGGCTCTTTTGCTCCAAGGAAAAAACATCCCCGCTTGCTCCGCTTGCAGGTTATGAGCCCGATGTACCTTTCTGTGCGGTGACCAGTGCGGTGAGTTTTCGATCAGCTTACCCAAAGCGAGCTGCCAAAACGCAATGCTGTGCACATCCCTTCACCGGGCCCGTGACTTGTCGAGAGGCAAGTGTCCCGCAACCCACCTGGAAAAAGAACAAAGCCACACCGGCCCTGACACGGACCCATGCCGACCCAGATCCCGCATTGGCTTGCACTGACGGGCATTGACGCGACTACCGACGTGGACCCACGCGAACGTACGCAAACCCAAATCCCACAACCACCGCGCACTAACACACACCCACGCGGACCAACGCGGGGACCGCTTCCTGCACCGACGCGGGCACTGACGCGGACCCACGCGAACCCACGCGGGGACCCCTCCCCCCACTGACGCGGACACCCACGCGGACCCACGCGGGGACCTCTCCCCGCACTGACGCGGACCGACGCGGACCCACGCGGGGCCACCTCAACGCCGCCCTCAGAACGCTTACGGGGCGACGCGTCAAGTGATTTTGCTGCAAGGGTGCCCGGCCCCGCGTGGGTCCGCGTCGGTGTCCGCGTCAGTGCAGGGAAGGGTCCCCGCGTGGGACCGCGTGGGTCCGCGTGGGTCCGCGTCGGTGTCCGCGTCAGTGCCCGCGTCGGTGCTGGCTCTGGGTCCGGGCCCGTGTGGGTTTGCGTGGGTCCGCGGGTCCGCTTCAGTGTCCGCGTCAGTGCGGGGACTGGGGCCTCGCGTGGGTCCGCGTGGGTCCGCGCGTCAGTGTCAGCGTGCGACTCCGCGTGGGTCCGCGTCGGTCCGCGTCAGTGCCCGCGTGGGTGCGGGTCCTATATATAGGGGCCCCGCGTGCGTCCGCGTAGATCCGCGTCAGTGTCCGCTCAGTGTCCGCGTCAGTGCCAGGCGCCGTCCGCGTTGGTCGTGGGTCCGCGTCAGTGTCCGTGTCAGTGCGGGGAGGCATATTCCCAATCATTTCTAAGCAAAACAGAGGTGCTGATTTAAGAGACACACATTTTGCCGCAACATTTTGTGGCAAGAACATAGGACCAGAATTTGACACAGGCACCCGCCAGGCACTTTGCACAGCAACCGTGCCACCGAAAAGGCTATAGTGTTAACGCTTTCAAGGTCATAACAATGTATATACGTATAATATAATATAAAAAAATAACTTAATTTAATATAATATAACATAGCATAACATAATATAATATAATATAATATATATATATATATATTATATATATATATATATCATAAATGTATACATAGTATATTTAATAACATATAACATAATTTGATAAATATAATATAATATAACATAATATAATATAATATAATATAGTATAATATAGTATAATTTAATAAAATCAACCATAATTTAGCTTAATATAATTTAACATAGCATAACATAATATAATATAGTATAATTTAATAGATATATATAATAAATAAATATATATATAATATAGTATATTTAAGAACATATAACATAATATAATATAACATAGTATATATAATATTATATGATATATTTATGTATACAGATGGCAACCCTTGTGAGTTTTTTTCTTCTTCTCATTTTTTGGTCAAAACATGTCAAGACTTACGCATGGAACATCACCGCAGAGCACACCTCAGTACTTTTGTTCAGTCACAGCAGTCCGGGTACCCATTTTGGAAATGTGGATGGAAATTTATGATATATCCCCTGAGGAACTGGAAATATCAGGGATATGCCCCACCTTTCAACCATCAATCCTGGACATGCAAAACCATGAAAAAAAAACAAACCTGGTTCAAGACTCTCAAGACAAACTTCAGGGTATCTACACCTTTGACATCCATGGGTTTGCACCCCCAATCCCAATCTTTTCGCATCATTTTCCAGTATTTTCCCCATTACACAGAAACCATTTTCTAGTACACCCCATCTTCGAACGGCCCACATCTAGCCATCACTTGACCAGGCTGCAAAGGAAGCCGCAGACGGGGATTTCGAGGTGGGGTAACGATGGGCAACTGTATCCGCCTTTGAAACTACCTCAACCTCAATACAAATGATATATATATATATAATGATATTACAGATAAGAGGTATAAGTAAATAGATGGCATGACTAAGATGGAGGATGAGAAGATGCCTCAACATTATATATATACATAAATGTATTCAAACAAACGGTGTATCTTCCTAATCAATGATATTTTTTTGTTGAGGATGCAGCATGATTCGCCAAGCATCAGTTATTACCATCCCTTTTTCCTCAAGGCATCAGCCTTTGAACAGCTGGAAAGAGACTTCCAGGACGGGAGTCAGCGTGAGTTGATCATGTAAGATCCATATTTTTACAATATTTTTACCATTCAGGTGGAATATATATATATATATGTAGATGGATATTGCAGGAATACTATGATAATACTATTCTACTACTATCCATACAATATCCATGGTGAAATATACGATACTTTAAAGGAATAATACTACCACGATGGGCTAAAATCGACCTGGGGGAATCCTGGAGAGTCCGTAGGGATTTGCCCAATAAACATGACCACTGGGATACAATTTAGTGAACATTTTTCATGGGTAGAACCAGCAATGAAGGCTGTAGAATTGGTGCATCTATTGGATCTTTCAATCTTGAATTTGGAACCATGATAATGGGGAATTAACGGATAATTACCGAATCAAAACGAGAAAAGAAGTGATTGGAGCTGATTTGGACACAGTGGATGTGCGCCTAATTTCGGGCTGGACTCATCCGTATTTTGTTTAGATTGTTTTGCTAAACAAATCCACATGTGTAAATTGGGATATATCCTACAATTTCTTAAATGGCTTGATCCATATTTGTTCATAGTTGGAATATAGCTTATCCTACACATGGCCTAATGATTCAATGATTCTGTCCGCTGATCCATGTTTCTTGCGACCCCCCAGGAGATCTTACAGGAACTCGTAGGAGACAAGTCGCTGGAGCACTTCCGGAACGAGTCCGCCGAACTCGGCGGAAGAATATCGGAGCTCCAAATGGCGCTTAAAAACCACAACAAAATGAGGTATGTTTCATGGGTATGTATATATATATATATAATACACACCCCCATGATTATCATGATTCATGGGTATCTCAATGAATAATGGCTATATCTGCCACATCACCTCATGAATCTGATGTTTGGTTCAAGACATTGGTTATTTCATGTTTTTTCCCATCCAGAAAAAGGGAGTTGAGGAGCCCAAGAAGTGCTCAGATTCCTGGCCTTTTAGAAGATGGTCCAATTGACCTCTGACATTTGTCACATGTCCTTTCTTTTGATCAGAGCCTTAGTTCATTAATGTTCATTAGCACCAAATGTGTTTCAGTGAACTCCCAGCGATCTCACATCACAATCGATGCATGTTGATGTTTAGTAGGGAAAACATGTCGAGCCTAGCCATGTGTGGCTTCAATATCAGATGGCAGAGGAGACATCAACACACCCGCCAGGTATGAGAAACTGCATCGAGCCTTGAAGAAGTCTCATGAGAGTGAGCCGGGCGGCTGAGATGATGATGAAACTGCAAGATGCCTAAGAGCCCAGTGGGCTCCCACAGTCACTGCACATAGTGCCTGCTCAGGAAGCACCTCATCAAGAAGTGCAGAGAACTGAATCAAGAGATCGTCGCAAATGCCGTCAAGGCGGGATAGATCGGGATAGATCGGGGTAGATCGGGGGAGTAACATAGTAAGAAACAGGGTCTGAGGGTATGCGACGCATCGCCATCATCATCGCCTGCTTCATATTCCAAGGATTGAGTTTTTTTTTTTTTTTTTTCGCAGTATAGAAGTAAGATGACGACATTTGGTCCAGCTATGTCTGCACTGCAGACATAGGGCAACACACAAAACACTTCTTGTCGGTTGTCCCATTCTGAACAATGGTAGATGCCGTTGTTCATTCTTGGTTCTACTCTTAGGTTTGCCGGAGGAAGTTTCTAGGTGTTTCTGTATCAGATAAACTTCAGAGGTTTTCCATCAGTTCCAAACAGATGTTGTCAGGTCCAGACAGCTTTGAAGCTGTCGCAAGAAGATCAAGCCACCATCACGGTCGCTGGGCTGCAGCATGGATCAAGGTGGACTGAGTGCCTTCCGTCGAGAGCTGGAAACCCATCAGGTGATAGTTGAGTTGATGTCTTCCTCACAACTTGATTTCGCACAGTCAAAATGTGGCTTCTCCAGCTCGGATCAACAAACGGCTGGAAGAAATAAAATGGCCTATGGGTTGCCGGGTTGCCAAGAAACATCTGGGTCCATCCATCTTTACCATCTGGTAAGTTAACATAGCCATGAAAAATCACCATTTTGTAGCTGGCTAAATCCACTATTTCTATGGGCCGAATGGGCCGTTTTCAATAGCAAACTGTTAGTTTACCAGAGGGTATGGAAAAATATGGGAGAACCCATCCATCTTTATGGAAAAATATGGGATAACCCATGGTAACCCTCCCCCTTGATGCTGAACAGCTCAACAGGGCTGGGTTGAAACAGCGGCTTTGAGGCGCTGAAGAAGGAGATCGAACGCGCCTGGAAGATGGTTGAGGCGATGAAATCTGCACATAAAGGAGGGTTATCCGATGTTACCCAGAAATTGGATCATTGATACATTATATATATATGTATAAACATTATGTGTATATATATATATAATATGATTGATATATGATTGATATATGATTGATATATGATTGATATATGATTGATAGAATTGATCAGATTGATATGATTGATATCCCAACATTGGATAAACATTGGATGGTTACGCACAACTTTTTTTTTTTCCGATGATTTGGGACCCGCATTTCTTTGAGCAAGAGCGGCAATACCCAAGTTGTACAGCTGTAGAACTGCAAACATAGCACTTAGATTTGCTGCTACTTTGTTTTTGTGATTCAAAGCTGCTGACGTTCCTGTAGATTTGTGCCATCGGGTTGAATTCGATGTTGCAAATGACAGATATCGACGTCTAATAGCTTCCCATTCCGCACTTTTTTTTTTGGGTCACGCATTTTCCTACACGCCGTGACCATCGTGACCAAGCCGTGACCATCGGAGGCCTCCCATGAAAAGGAGCAGAGAGCCCGAGAGACGATCCAAAATCTCAAGTCCGAGATCACCAAGTTGGGTCGCTTAGTGGAGCAAGGCGCGATGGGATTTTGTGGGATTTTTGGGATGGATCGGATCATCGGCGAGCCGCTTCGCAGGTGCCGGACTTAGCATCAACCAGGAGAACATGGTGAACCAACTCGTTCAGGACGGCCGGACCGTGGTTCAAAGCCGTGATGTTTTGCGAAGAGTGAGTTACAAGAAACATATCATGGGCATACCTGGAAAGGGTTGAATTTTTGTGGGTCCATTTTGGGACATGTCCAAGTTGGGGGTTCAACTGCCCTATTTTGAGTGATGGAATCGACAGCAGACGCTGTCAGGAGAAGAATGACTTGGTGAAGCATCGGGACATGTTGCAGGGCCAGGCAGCCGCAGCTGTTGACAGCTGCCACCTGTTCGATCGAATTTCGAGCAGTGTGCTTCAAACTTGCTGACTCCTGCAACTAGTTGTACCCCTATCCCATGATATTCCCACAATATTCACCCACAGATTCCATTATTTATTGGAAAACGGTCAATTTTTCTCCATATTTTTGATGGTCCCTCCTCTTCCGCAACGCACAGGGTGATCCAAACGATGAACGTGTCAGGTGCAGCAGATGCAGCAACAAAACACCGACCTCAACTCCAAAGTCGCCAAGTTAGAACAGGTGGGAAGGGAAAAAACCAGGGCAAGAAACCATGGACTAGTAGCTACAATTGGGATCAATTGGGTTACCCTCTGGTAAACGTTTACATAACTATGGAAAGATCCACCATTTTGTAGCTGGGAAACTCCACTATAAATAGCCATTTCAATAGCTATTTTGACATAACCAGAGGGTACAGATTTTTCAACCATCATCCAACCATCCAACCATCCAACCACTCGACTTTTGTCAAAATTTCATCCAACCAATTAGCGCAGGAGCGATTGCAGGGCAATGGCGAACTCCTGAAGTTGCGGGATGCCTTTCAGAAGCTCCAAGAGGTGTCTGGAAGATCATTTTCCGAGTGGACATGGACATTAAAATGGGTTGCATGTTAAAGTTGCAGGGTGGAATTTTTTAGGATCACGCCAGGAAATTTGGAGATGCCAGCAATTTTTGGGTGTCAAGGGTTTTGCATCTTTAATTTCAGAGCTAAACATCTTAGGATGACCCAATTGGGCACAGCCACAGGATGCTGAAGCAAAACAAAAGCGGAAAGAAAAGTTGGACAAGGACTGAAGATGACTGAAGGGTTTGGCCTTTTTCTATTTGCTAGGTTTTTTTTGTAAATGGTCATGGTATCTTGTCAGGAACCCGCAACATAGTGGAGGCTTCCCACAAGAGAGTCATGGGACCATATAGGATCCTTGCACTTCAACAGGCCCAGTCAAGCGTTGAAGATTTTTGGGTTCTGCTAAGCCTTAAAGCTAAATTGCTGGTGACTTGAATTGTTTAATGTGTCTATGATATACTGTATATATATATATACATACAGTTTTTATATAATAAATAGTACAGTAGTATATAATGACAATCCTTTCGACAAGTAAAATTGGGGAATCCACCTCCGTTCGTAACATCTTGAAACGCTGAAAAAAGTGCAGGACCTCAAGGAGATGAGACAAGGTGCTTCTCGATGGGCTGAGATGGGAAAATCCAGTCGTCAGTTTTGTGACCATCTCATGGGTAAACATCGTCGCATGATGCGATGTTACACTGCTCACATGAGATCCCGCCACTGGGCCATACATAGGTCATATATGTCACATGGTCCATAGTTACATACTACCATCTGGTTATTTAACAGTTCGCCATGGAAAATGACCATGCTATTAAGAACGGTAAACCATCTATAAATCCATCTATTTCGATTAGGGCCATCTATACCATGGCTATGTTAGTCACTACCAGAGGGTAGTAGTGATAGGGATCAGACCTGGAGAAATTGGAATATTTCAATGGGAGATCTCCAGGATCCAATTGATGGAGGGTACTGTACCATATGTTTGGCCATATTTTGTGGGGATATTCCCTTACATAGGCCTAAAAAATAGGCCTTACATATGGTAGGCACCTCCAATTCAGGTTCCTGAAATGGCCATTGAATATTCCCTCCATTCCTCTGGATTTTCACGAGGTCTGGAGTCCAAACAAAGCGAAGTCAACGCCAAGCGAGAAGAACTGGCGCGGGGCGAGGCCGGTGGCCACAGTCATGGGCTGAATCCTGATGTTTCACTGGAGAAATTATATCTCATTATATGACATAGTACATATATGACATGATATATATATATATATGTACATTATATGATATAGTACATGATATATATATATATATATTATATGACATTATATGATATCAGTGACATATATGTGGATTCTTCACTGATTTCTGATATTTCTGATGTTTCTGTTCGAGGAGATCCAAAAGCATCTCACGCGTCAGCTGAGAGAAGAGAAGCAGGAGGCGGGAACTGCTTTTTTCAAGACGAGTGGTTTCTCAGCGGACGAGTTGTCACTGGAGCTCCATTGCTATGATCGAATCCTGGGTCTCTGAAGCCAAAAACCAAGGGCATCATGCAGTTGACCATTATCTTTTCTCGTCAATGCTAGAATGGATATACATTGGGTGTAGCCTAACCTCTGCAACAGTCGGAAAATGGATTTCCTATGAAAACCTCTTCAAAAGGACAAGGAAATTAATTCATGTTTCCCATTTTCTTTCGTGCAAAAATTGTGCTCTAAATCGTGCTGTTTTGGTGTTCCCATCCGTCCAAAAATCGTGTTCTAGATCCGCTCTTTGGTGTTCTCCTCCGTGCAAAAATCGTGCTCTAGCTTGTGAAAGCTGTTGCAGACAATGGGCCAGACCCAAGATATACATAACGAGGAATCCAACCACAATGGTGTGTACTTAGAAAACCGGTTCAAGAAATAGTGTAGTTGATTTCTCAGCAATGCTACAAGTCACAACAAGTACTGATTTCACACAACAACTTTTGGTCACAACCAGCGACTAGTGGTTCGATAAGTATCCATCACTGGTGGTGCCTCCATTGCCCGGCTCACAGCGCACAGCGACGCCCGAGGAAGAGCGTTTGGGGATCCGATGTACACAGCTAAATGGCAACGCTCAGCATTTAGACAAGCAGGTCAACGAGGCTGATGGGATGGGAACGACCCTGAAAATATCCCTGAAAATTGGATCTTGTTGATAGATGGTGATGTTGATGTTATCTTACTTTTTTAAATTTCTATGAGATTTTCTGGCTTGATATGGTGTGCCAGGTGTTCTAGTTGTCCAACATCATCATTTGGAAGATCCCAAGTGATTTCTTCATCTCCTCGGCAGGAGATGTCTGCGAAGAATCGCTTAGAGGAAGAGCAGAAAGACCTGAAAGCCCAGTTGAAGTTCCGGCAGGAGAGTGAATGGATTTGGACGGGAGGTCGTAGGTCGTTAGGTACCAAAGAGACAGCAAACATGGGTAAAACATGATAAAATCATGATGAATATGGTCATTTTTAGGACATCATCTCAATTTACTTGGCTTATACTTGAAGTGACTGGCAAAAATTTGACCCAAACTATATGTGTCAATTTTGTTGAGGACTACACAGGAATGAAGCTTCTTCTACTGTCGATGTTTCCCAAAGTACCCAAATTCCAGTTGAAACCATGATGATACATGATAAAATATGATAAATCATGGCTTATCTCATTATTATTATTATTATTACTACTATTTTTCAAATCACAATAATACGTATGTATATATATATATATACACATACATATGTATTGTATGTATGTGCATATACATATACACAATGATTTTTTCCCATTGAAACTGTCAAGCTACCAGCTGCGCTGCAGCTTTGATCATGTGTCGCCCGAGGATGAGATCTACTCGCTGAAATCCTCGAAACAGAAAATGCAAAAGGTTTTGGAGGCACCGGTGGAGCAACGGAAAGGCTCCATATATGCCCCTTACTGTTGATACATGGGATATGTTGTGATATGTCTTATGATCTCGTAACATATCTGATGATATTCTATCTCCTGAGATTTTATGATATGTATGAATGAGTATATATTCTATGATATCATATCTGATGATATTCTATCTCCTGAGATATTTATTCTATCTCTGATAACATATTGATAAGTATCTATCAATAAAAGATAAACATCAGATGAACATCTACCAATGCCAGCTATTTTGATGGTGAAACTGGGTGGCATCAGGCCATGCAGATCCAAAAAGATAAGGACGACGCCGAGTCGCGTCGATTGGAGGTGCCGAGTCGCGTGAACAGCACTCGCCGGAGATCGAAGTCTCAGCCAAGTTGGAGAAAGTCAACGAGTTGGAGAAGTGTATGTTTGATAGTTTGCTAACGTCAACGGAAAAATAGAAAGTCAATCAGAAAACCCATCAACAAAACACTATCAACCATCAGTCAACCCATTAGAAATGAACTAAGTTCACCATCAGTCAACCCATTCAGCCAACCAGTCGTCGCCTATCGAGGCGCGCACCGCCAGCATGCGCGGTGAAGTCTCGGAACTGCAGAAGGCGCTGGGGGTGTTGCGGGGATGGGTCAATGTATGTGTAGGATGCATATATATATATATATAATGTATGTGTATGTGTATATATATATATATATGTATATATATATATATATCTCATTATATATGTATAATTATGTATATGTACATGTATATGTGTATGGGTATTATGTGTATGTGTATATATGTATACACATATGATAGTGGATATCTAAAACATATCTTGATTTTGACACATACCCAGTCCATGCGATGGTATGGTGGAATTATCAACCATGTGAGACAAATTGAGTGATTCTTTAGTAACTAAGGATTTGAGTCTTGAGCTCAACGTACATCTAGTCCTAGTCTCATCTAAGTGTAGGTGCATCCCCAAACTCATTGGATTTGGAGACACTAACATCCACCCAAACACACAATGGTTGGCTGTAAGTCATGAAACCTTGGATTCAGCAATATATAATACGTATATATATATACACATATACATATATATATATATAATACAATTGCTGGAAAACTCAGCAATGCTCAGCAATTCGACTCAATCTTTTTCTAGCCGCGATTTCGATGCAGATCCGTAGATTCTGAAAATCCATGGAGATCCATGATTTCCATGGGACTTCTGGTGCACACTGGTCTTAGAAAAATTTCCACCAAACACAGGGCTTGGGAAGCCATGGGAAGCCCATTTCGGATTTCATGGGAGAATTATGGTCCCAGATTTTTCGAAAAGTTTTCGACATCCGAAGTCACCAAGTCACACGAAGTCACACGAAGTCACACGAAGTCGCACGAAGTCACAGGAGTTGGAGAAGCTGAAGAGAGAATCTGAAGCACAGGAGAAACAGGTCACGGACCTGGGGTGTAGTTTGGCATTTTTTGGAGGCTTCGGCTGATCAAATCTTTCGAACTTTAGATATCTACCTGGAATCTACATTGAAGTACCAGTAGATTCCAGTAGATACATCTGTGGAAGATGATTCATCCAGCTTCTAATGGCACAACAACATACGACAACCCCAAATTTGATGATCCTCCGAAACCACCCATAAAATGACTCGAAAATGTGGATGTTTGGAGGAGACCCAGTTCCATTTTTGTCATTCATCCGTTCCGTTCAGTGGCAACCGAACCGGCCAGAAATTCCAATCCAGTGAAAGTCCACCATGAAACCTCCATGAAACCTGGTGGAAACCCCGCAGAATTTCCCGAAAAACTGATGTTCAGAGTCTCCAATGCAACTCACTTCAGAACGGGTCGACAGTCGATTTTCAGAGTGTGGCAACCACCAGGAAAATATGGGGTTATCTGAAAAACAGGCAAAGCCCCAAATTTGAGGCTTAGCATCACTTTCCACATTAAAACAACCATTGATTTTCAGATCTTGATGGTGTTTACCGCCCCACTTTCAGGTCACAGACTTGCTCCACGAACGGGACATCCTGGGGAAGGTGGGCCATGATCTTTTAGAAGCCAAGGGTAGGATGACCATTCGCCATAGCCATATAGGCCATAACAGATGTATTTCAGTCTGAGGTCATTTTGTATATGAGCCATACCTTAGGTTTTTATACATGGAGGGGAATATATATATATATAATATGTGTATATATATATATATACATTGCAAGTTTGGTAAGACATCTGTAAGGTGATGAATAGTGAGGTCTTGATCTTTTCAAAGATGTCTGTGATTGTTTTCCCATGAAGCATGGGCTAATACCAGCAGCAAAGAGCAGCTCCATAGAGCCACTAGATGCGTTTGTGATGACCAAGAACCTACCAATTAATACAGGGTTGGGTTGCATAATGTTAGATATTAATTGAAAAAATCTAGTTTTTTTTTTGACTATGGACGATGAGATTCCCTCTTCACCAACCAGCTTTTTTCCGTGTCGAGGCGTTGATGAAGGGCGATGAACGCTCAAAGCAACAAGTGGAACTGGTGGATCTTCACAAAGGACAAGCGCAGACCTTGTCCAAGGAGATGCCCTGGGAATCGGAGGGAGCGGAATTTTCTTGTTGTCGAGAGATAAATAAATAAATAAATATGTATATATATTATAGCATATGATATACATGAATACATGAATGATCAACAAATGTATATTACACATATATATATATACATATATATATATACATCATATAACACCGATTCCTACTGACATATGGGGGAGTGGAACAAATGGCTCAGACATCTTTTCGGGTCCCATCACAGGCCTCCCTGGCCACCACACCAGGACTTGCACCGCTGGAAGTCAGAGCTAGATCTGAAGTGCGGGCACCCGTTGTGACCCCGAGCTAAAACTGTAGCACCATGATGTAGCTAATCATTTTTGGTAAATCATCATTATGATTGTAGAGGCACCATGATTGTAGAGCCTTCAAATCACTTTTGGTGCACGATGTAGCCACGGAACACATCTGAAATCACACATTTTGAGGCTTCAACGGATGCACGAACTGGATCGACAGAGGGAGAAATATGCAGGAGATCTACAGCAGGCTGCCGGGGGGGTGATGTTGAAGTGCCAGAAGTGGTTTCCTGCATAATTTCCTTTCAACCAACCCAGTGATCAATATTTTTCTGGTGCAGTGTAATGATTGGAGATGCTGTTTTGATGTTGAGATGCAGCGGTTTTTCTCTGGGATTCAAGTTTTTCCTCTCCTCAAACCCGTTGGGTCTCTGCCTGGTATTGTGAAATTCCACTTGCCTAAGTTGCAACACCTCAACTAAGCTTAAGGTACGAACAAACACCAATATGAGCTGAGGACGTACAAAACCCATTTTCGTTCAACAGCAACTCTTTCATGGCTTGGGCCCACCAACACTCGCATCCAGTCCATAGATTTTACATGATCAACATGTATCAAGCCCATTATCCCATTGATGTACATCAACCAGTTGGATACTTTTTGTCACCATTATCCCATTGATGTACATCAACCAGTAACTTTTTACATCTTTTTGCCACCATCAACTACCACTTTTTACCACCATCAACTCGGTTGATGAACATCAAATCAAGACTAATTGATGATGGTTTATAAATCCGTTCATATATATATATATAATATATATCTATATATATATATAATATATATATACCTATATACCTATATATATATATAATATATATATATATCTACATGATATTCATCAACTACCCTGGTTTTTGCCGATTCCGGCCGGCCACCGGCCACCGCAGCTGGACCACCGGGACCGGGACCCTTTTGTCGTTCCGCCGAGGCCAAGCAACGCTGTGAGGTGGCACAGGAGCAGTTGCGAGGCGCCGCGGTGATGCCAATATCATGGCAATAATGGTAATAGACCAATGGTGATTGCCAATATATCATGGTTATTCATGGTTATTCTATGTTATTATCATGGTAATATTAACTGTAATAATACATATAATATATACATATATACATATATGCTGTATATATATATATATAGATACCAGTATTGGTTGATGAATATTCGATTAACATAGATTGTTGATATAATTATGTTGATATTTTTAGTGATAAACTGATAAAGCCATGATTGATATTGAATGATAAAGTTTTTCCCCCACTAAAATTTAAGTATGTCATCATACTTGGGGTAATTTTTGTCGCACTTTTCAGACAAATCTGATGGATGGTGATTTTGCCAAAAGAATAGATTTAACCAGCAGAAACAAAACAGTTGGACTGGATGGCAGAACAGCAAAGTTTGACTGGTGCAGCTTTGCCCCACTGAATTTTGTCAGTGGGTGCCCCCTTGCATGGGGGGGGAGCTAGATCTGAATGGCATGATGGAAGTCCCATACTAATAGCCCTACCGGCGTTCCCACCTTCAGTCGCAGGTCGTGAGTCAGAAATGGCGCGACTGAAGCGAAGTATCGCCGACGTCCGCGCCAAATGGGCTCAGCAAAAGAACCTCTACGAGGAGCCACGAGTCGGCTGAACTGCAGTATAGCCAGCCTCAATACAGATTTTTTGCATATGGACGAAGATATCGAAGATGTAAATTCTACAGGTCTGGGATATCGGTTCCAATTTTCACCATCAATATTAGCACATCACCCGCTCCAGAGGCAGTTCGAACGGATAAGAACCTCTACTCCAAAAACCTGGTGGAGTCGCTGGAAGAGATTAATGAGATGAGAAAAAAGTTCAAGGCCTGGGCAGTCGAAAATAGGTGATGAACATATACTACAGATGATTAAACATGGATGTTTATGTCTTGTTTAATGGCTTGGTTGAAGACTCAGCACATGACTGCAATTTTGATCAATGGTGGCTCAGGTGATGTGCCACCAGATCGAACAGTTGAAGGAGGAAATCAAAGAAAAAGACGTTCGAATGATTGAGGCAGATGGGAACTTCACGGAGCAGGGTGGATCTTTTTATGATGAGGGCATTCCTGCAGTATTACACTTTCCATCACGGTAAACAAAAGTTGCTGATTTTCTCCAACCTGATGCATGTATCCAAATATCAGTGAAAATACCTGGAGCATTTGGCAGTTGCAAATATGATTTACTTGACCCTGTCCTGCTCTGTCGTGCTCCGTCGTGCTCTGTACCTTCAGGATCACTCGAAACACGTGCAGATCAGCAAGGACTGTCAAATTGGGTCAGATTGGGGGATCGATTGATATCAGGTTGGTGGTTTGGAACATGAATTTTATTTCTCCATATATTGGGAATTTCATCATCCCAACTGACGAACTCATATTTTTCAGAAGGGTGGCTCAACCACTAACCAGATATTGATTGATGGCTTGATGCCGGTCACGCTTAGGAGACGGAGAAGACCAAACACTCCGTGGAGAACCAAGAGAAGCAGCTGACCAAAGCACAACAGGCCCTAGATGGCCGATCTTGGACGTTGAATGTGGTGTTTTCCATAGGGATGTGGGGTGTTTCTGGACGTTCGTTAAACATGGAGAATCTCATGGGTTTTGGGAGCCAGGTTGTTGAGCAACAACAAGCTGACATCAAAAAGCTGGAGGCTTCCAGACCGGAGATGGAATGAAGATTGGTGTGTTTATAGCGACTTTCTAAGATGTGTGGGTCCCATTGTTCCTGAGGAAACATTGAAGATATTGACCTCATGGTGAGAAATCGCAATTCCGAAATGTGGACCATTTTCCTAGCCTCAGGAGAGTTTCAAATCTAAGATTTTCGGATCCCCTTTGTTTTGCAGCCCTCCAAATTTTGAACAAGGTCATTTTGGGGTAGTACCAGCCCTGGTTCAAACACCGGCTGTTCATTTTCGGGAGGTCTGAGGTGATTATCTATGATTTCACCCAGTAGGAAAATAGGTATAGAAACCAGGATGACATCGTGGATTGCAAGTGTTATAACGACATTGTTGGTTGGTTTCAACTAGATTAACTATAGATGTTTTTGCAGCCTAGCCACCCTCAAGAATGGCTTTATACACCCAATTAAACCACATTGAGAGAAACTGGTAAATCCATAAGATGGAGCATGCACCAACAAAAACGGGGAAAATTCATCCAGCAAAAAGTGAAATACACAGCACCAACTTTCAGGATTGCCATAAGTTTCCCTGGACTCCAGTGATCGCTAGGGGGGGGGTCCTCCAACAATGCCTGACTTCAGGGTGCATGAAAACATCGACTTCAGCCAAATTTCACCATGTGATTGATGACTGGCCAGAGATGACCTGTCAAAAAAAAGGATCCACTGGCACCAATTTTCTGTCTCATAGGAGGCTATTCTCAGCAATTCATCCCGGGATTTCTGTGCAGAATTTCAACACACAAACATCTATTTTTTTGGGGGGGTTTTGTGAGTTTAAAATTGGACATGGATTTACCCTCTGGTAAACTAACATAGCTATGGAAAATCACCATGTTTAATGGGAAAACTCACTATAAATGGTCATTTTCAATAGCTATGTTGACATAACCAGAGGGTATCCCTTTTTTTCACACCGCCGAAAGGGGGAGAAACATCCGAGGCCACCATCCAAGAAGCGGAGACGGAACGCCAGAACCAGCGCAAGGAGTTCGAGGCCGTGACCTCTGAACGGAACATCTTGGGGAAGCAGCTGATCCGACGCAATGAGGCGCTTGGGGTTGGCTGGGTGTGTTTTTTTCAGAGAAAAATGGGAATGATGAGGAAGAAATCGCACTTCTTTGAGGTGAATCTGTGATTGTTGAGGCTTCTTTGAAGTGTGTAATCAGTCCAGAAGCCGAAACCATGTGGTTTTGAAGCTGCCAGATCCTGACACCTGCATGGTCAGCCCGGGCAGGAGCTTTCATTGATCTATGAGAAGATCAAGATCCAGGCGCGCTGTGACATCTGTGACCAACCACCCAGGTTTCCAACACCTGCAATCCCAAGATATCCCAAGATTGGTAGATTCTGTGTAGCCCCCTTCAAGGAAGTCCAGGAACGCAAGATTCCCCATGATTTTGCAGGAAAGCACCTTGTCAAAGGGCGAGGCCGGGCCCCCCGAAAATCCTGGACCTCCAAAATGAGCTTTGAAGGACTTTGTGTTATTCATGGAAGAAAGACATCTTTTTTACCAGTAAAAAGTAAAAAAACATTTTTTACCAGTAAAAAGTAGAAACAAACAATGAGGATTTTCATGGATTTTCTCCAGTCCTCAAGTAACTACTTGATTTCTGGGCAGTGTTCTGGATGATCATGGTGGATACATGTCTTCACCCACAGGACCCCGATTATGACCGATGAAACTCGCAAAGTTGTGGTGGACTGCATGGACTACATGACTATGTGACCATATCTGCTAGTTTCCATGGTCTGCAGCCAATTTTTGGCTTTGGAAGTGGGTCCGTTTCTTCGAGACCACCCTGGTATACCCCGGTGTGCATTCGCTTGCTTGTGTTCTTGTGTCTCGGAAAAGAAAGAAAATGAGCGACGTCTCCGCAAAGCTTTGGGGAATATCCGATTATCATTGTTGGTGAGTTGTTGGTGGCATGTTCTGAGGGAGAAACGCTGTGAGACCCACAGTTCCCCAAATGAACACGTCCGCAGGCGCAGTACAAGAAACTCTTGGATGGTCTGCATGGACAGCGGGGCGATATCGGCGAGTCGGGGCGCCCCATTAGGGGCGATGATTTTAGAGTTCCTGGGGGAAAATTTCTGCACATCGATGATGGATGATGATGGATGATGGATGATGATGGATGATGATGGATGATGGATGCAATCGCATTTGGTCCATTGAGATCTATTGAGTCTATTGAGTCTATTGAACTGGCCCACGTTGTTCATTCGACATTGTTGAGGCTGAAGCGCGACTTGTACATTGCACGGCAGCAGGCAAGTCGACAACTGTCCACTGGGATGATGGCAAGTCGACAACTGGGTCCTGTGACTGGAGCCACCAGAAATCCAGGATGGAAACAAGCGAAATGACACTCCTTAGGCCCTTAGGCTTTGTGAGATCGTCATAGGTTTGTTGAACATATCCATGATCGATATGATCGGCTTATATCGGCTTTCAGCCTTTCAATTTTCCTGTGAAATCGTGTTGGTGGATTCCATCTCCCCAGTTTGTGCTGGCCAGAAAACCATGCCCCAAAAACCATACCCCTAAGGCCGGAAAACGTTTGTTTATTTTTGCTGATCTCTTGAAATTGGATGAAGGGTAAATTCACGGGAACTCCTCATGTTCAATTGTAAAAACCATGGTTTCTTGTTAAATTGTTCTCACACTAATCCATTGACCAACCACATATCCCGATTCCTGAGAGTTTAAATCAGAGTTTAAATCATCATTTTTGATGGTTTTTGTTGACAGTTTTTCATCATGTTTGATGGCGAGGCGGAATCCGCTGGAAGCCTTGAGAAAGAGGTCTACCACTTACAGCGGGAACTGCTGCAGGAGCGAACCAAGGCCACATTTGGGAAATGGGCAGCTTCACCAAGAAATGGTGGATGAATTTGGGGATGAACATTGGATATATCATTGACCTATACATTATACATTGACATATATATATATATTTAGATACATATACATACATATATATATAGCATTTATGTATATATAGGGGATATGCGTATATACATTGTATATCATTGAATGCATTTTCCGATATCGTTGTTTGGTTATGTTTACAATATGTTTATTAGGGATTTGATTCACCAACAAACGGGGAATAACGGGGGATCAGTCTCAGACACCACCGGACCGGTCAGACTGGACTGGTCGGTGACGTTCCCATGAAACCTGGTTGAACATATTCTGTAAATCAAATTCTCTGTGGTCCCCCCAACCAAGCATTTCATTTAGTTTGGCATTTTTTTTGGCGATTGTTGGATTTCGTGTACATGTAGTGAACATCTACAAGCCTTACAGATCCTTACAGGAATATACAACCCTTACAGTGAAGATCGTAGAAGATCAATATTTCGTGTGTGTAGATCGCCCCAAGATCCCAGGTGCGCGCTCTGTCCGAAGAGTTGGAGAATCCCATGAACGTTCACCGCTGGAGGAAATTGGAGGGTTCTGATCCGGCCATGTACGAATTGATTCAGAAGGCTGGAAGTGCAGAATGGCTTCACAGATTGGACTTTTGGTGGCAGAATTTGTGGTGTTACCTGGTGAGTTGAGGACGTGATTGGAGTCGTTGAACCTGAACTGGTTGAACTGGTTTCGTATCTAACTGAAATTGCCTAGATTTCACCGTTTTTTTTGTCAATTGTTGGGACATTTCAGGTAATGTCACCTCAGGCCTGGTTTACTGCGGGGGGTCCCATAGTACTGGCATCTAACATCACCCTAAAGGCGGACCAACCCCTTGAAACCAGCTGACCGGCGATGAACATCGCAGGTCCGGAGCTTGCAAAAGCGGCTCATCGCTAAGACGGAGGAGGTCGTGGTGAAAGAGCTTTGGCCATAGCATATATTTTTTTAATGTCACGGTTCACCATGGGGGATGGGTGTCACCAAGAAAGTTAAAGGGAGGTATAAACGTAAGTAAATCAATAACGCACACAATACATATATATATAGATACATATATTATATAATATATACATATGCACAATGGGGATAGAACGGGATACATCACCAGATGATTTGTGGATTTGTGAAACAACGAGCCATGGGTGATGAAGCATCATGGCCATGGGCAGAAACTCAAGGATCCTCCGATGACACGAACAGATTGAATAGATACCTCATAATAGTTCCAATCAAGAATCAATCACGAACTAGTCAGCTAGACTTTCTTAAAAACTTACTCAGCTCTCTTATAAAGTTGGCAACGCCTCTAGGTTTCTTCAGGCAAAAAAAAAATCTCTCTCTCTCTATAGTCATTGCGGTGGTCTTCTCTTACTTTCTCCGTGTCTTCTTTCTGGAATTCCAGATCATACTGTATCTCTATTGTTAGGTAGTATTTTTTTTTTACTCTTCTTTGTGTCTTTTCTGGTACCCTCCGGTAATTTTACAGTGCTGTGGAACATGGCCCACTGCGTTCGATACTGATTGTTTGCTAAATGATATGCTCCATAGCATGTTCCTTGTTCCATGGCATCACATCTACATGTTGAAGATGGTCGTTTTTCTTTAAACAACATCATTGCATTATCAATAAACCCTGACATAAATAACTCCGACAGCAATACCAAATACTACTCTGATCTGATCATAATATAGCAACTGAAAGTTTTGGGTAAAACATGTAGAACCACCTGTAGACAAAGTCATCAGAACCAAGGATGACATGTTGAACATGATGCAAACAATAGCAACCAAGGCACACACACACACATATCAGCCCCAGAAGCTCCCAGCATGACATTTTTTTTTGGGACAGCCGGGACAGCACCTACTGTGGATTTGCTGAGGACATCGAAATCCAAGAGAAGGACAAACTCCACAAGGCGTGCAGAAAGAGACCTCTGCAACGAATGGTTCCTGATTGAATATCCCGCTATGAAACGCGGACTGCACAAGATGTAGATGTTGAGTCCCCACAAGACCACAACTTGAGTCTTCCGATTATGAATATTATCAATATTCAAAATTCAAAGCTAGTATGTGCGCGTTTGCATCAGTTTGTGTTGCATGAAACATCGAGCAACGTCACCAATTGCATATGACCTTTGAGAGTCCAAGTTTCTGCGATCAGCTGGGTCCACTTTTCTCAGCTTAATACCATGCTTGGACAATTTTCCACAAATTGACAATGTTGGTACATACAAAATAATTATCTTTTTCTCTAAGTGTATGCATACACACACATATACATACATATATATATATATACATATTTGCATATATTTGTATATATATATATATTTATACATATACATGTATACACACATATACATGTATACACACATATACATGTATACATATATATACATACATATATATATATATATGCATGTGCATATATATATATATCATTCATGTATAGATATTAGACACGCATATAGGCTATATACATATATGTATAAATCTTTACATATTTGCATATTTTCTACCAGTTTACCAGGTCTTGATATTTAGAATGAGTTTCTTCTTCACCAGGTTACCCTATCCTGGGGGAACCCGGGGGAAGCTGCGTAGGAGTTGAACGGCATCTTGGAGAAGCAGCCAGGGCCCGAAGTCTTGGAACAATTAGAGCAGTACCAGGACCTCCGGCTACGGCTTGGGAGATCTATAGGAGCCTTGGAAAGCGGGGATTGATCAACCTATCTGTATAGATATGTATAGATTGTATAGCGTACATATATATATATATACATATATATAGATGGATATACTTATATATATATACATATGTATATAGAGATACATATGTTTATATCTATTTATGTGCATATGTATATATATATATGTATATTTGTATAGACATATATACCAAGGGTGCATTTGTCTTCTCATATGTAACCTTGAAATGTACATACGCATACGTTTAGTCTTAGAACCCAAGTGATCGGATATTTTTTTGGGCGCTTTTTTGGGAGCAGATCTCCTGACGCGCTGATGGTTGTGTCATGAGGAGACCTATGCGGCCAAGCAGAAACAGATGAAGGCCATGCAAAGCGAGTTGCACACCTATCAGTCACAGGCCTGCGGCGTAGCGGCGTGGTTGGGTGGCGGTGGCGCCAGAAATCGAAGCACATTGCCCGGTGGAGCCAATTCATGTGGTGGTTTCACATATTTTCTATTGATGTGAAACCACCAAATATAGTTTTCCATGTGAAACCACCAATCATGTGATGTTTTTTCTATATTCCTGCGATGATTTTTTCGTCCAATGGACGATTGGTGGGATGGTTGACCAGGTTCCCCCCAGGTTCCCCTGACCTGGGATGGAACGGGATGGAACCGATTGAGGTGTCGGATTACAAGCATGAGATTGACCGACTGAATCGGGAACTCCAAGAAGTGAAGAAGAAATTCTACGATCAGAAGAAACGGGAAATGATTCAACAGGACCGGCTGTGGGAGGTCAGGATAGATGGATGGATAGAAATGGCAAGGGGCAAATCATGTCGTGTTGCAAATCTTTAGTCATCCCTGTTGGGTATGACAACAATAGCTGTGGATTCTCATGCTGGCTGCATCATTCATCCCAATGGCCGGAGATATTTAATCCCTTGCGCTAGAATTTCTCAGGTATATATATCCATGTATACATGTCCCCAGTTCTATATGTTCTGTGCTAATCAGTTGTATATCTTCAATACATAGTTTATGGGACAATTTTCAGGAATCCTCTGTATTGACAGAGGAACACCATAATTGTGTGTAGATTTTCAGTCGAACCAATCCAGTGAATATCCACAGTTACGTACTTGGGGGTGCATCCCAGTTGGTATGTTGTTTTTCATAGACTGGGGATGACTGGGGTATATCCCACTCATCTAGCTGGGTTATGATCTGGCTATTACCCACTGACGAACTTATGAAATACCATAATTTTGGGAGATAAACATCCATTTGCCAGGAAAGATTGATGGCGTTCGCCAGGGGGTAGAGGAGTTTTACCCATCCCGATATCCAAGTTCATATGCATATACGTATATATATATATTGTATGCATATATATGTGTATATATATATATGTATTATGTGTTTATAATATAATATAATATAATATAATATAATATAATATATAATATAATATAATATATAATATAATATATAATATAATATAATATATGATATAATATATGATATAATATAATATAATCTAATATAATCTAATATAATATATAAATATATAAATATATAAATATATAAATATATAAATATATAAATATATAAATATATAAATATATAAATATGTAAATATGTAAGTGTCAATGGAGCCCTCCCCTCAGATATTGATGGCCATCAAATAGCGGCAACCAGGAGGCCCAACGGGGCGACAGTCGTGTCATTCATCCCCGACCTGTGCCGCAGGCAGAGATGGGGTTTTCTCGGGGTTTTCGGGTTTTCTCACCCCGAAGACTGGGATAACATGGTTATAAATATTTCAATGGATTGGTTTAAGGGAAAATTTTAACCGGAAAACACCATATTTAATCTGGGGGAAATTCCATGGTTTCCGGTTAAGATTTTCCCTTAAACCAATCCATTGAAATATGTAAATAGATCAATCAATCAATGACGAATAAGCGCATATGTAATACACATATATATATACAGATGAGTCTATCTGTTTATGTTTTTATCTATGTATGAATATGATGTAGGTACTGCAATGATGCAATACAACGCAACACAACGTAACGTAACGTAAGGTAATGTAACGTATCGATACAACTGCCTGGTGAACAACGGGATTAACCGTTTAGCCTGGTGAATTGACCTACAATTATCGCATTTCCAACTGGGGAAGCCATGGTTTATAAAGCACAGTTCCAATTCTGGAAAACTCTCTTGCCATCCCACTTGAGCCTTGCCCGGGCCGACCATCGTTTTGGGGACCATCCTTTAAAAGCAAATCTGGGGATAATTAGTTGGGAAAAGTCGTGGATTCGATTGTAACTCCAATATTGCAAAACATTGCCTATATATATATATGCTTATATATATATATATGTGTACATATGTATATACACATAATTTTGTGTAGCTCATATTTCTCAAATCAGTGATTTATGACAGCATCCCTGGAGCTAAGCCTCAGACTGGCGCGCACGCAACTGCTTTGGAGATGGTGCAAACCCTGAGATATCCACTATTGTGGGGGTTGTGGGGTATCAAAAGAAACATGTGGTTACTGTATACTGTATGGAAAGTTTCATGACCTACCAGTTGAAACAGATGCCCTCCGGTAATCTCAGAGTTTGCCATGGAAAATGGATGAAGATGGCCATGAATTGTAGCGTCAATCACCTGAGCTCCCCCTGAGCCCGCGAGGTTCGCTACATGGGCGGTTTGTTCAGCTTGGCACACTAAGGCGCCTGAAACCCACATGGTTTCGGATGGTTTGGGATGGTTTGCTATTGGCTTTGCTACTTCAAACATGGTATTTTTTTAAAATGTGTTGATCCAACCCCATAGGGAAAAAACTACGAGTTTGAGCATCAATGTCCGTCAGGCACCAGTTGGATTCGATTGTCCACATTGAACTACTGTTTCAAGAAAGCACCGGAAAAGTGACATGGCAACCCAAAGTGACACATTTGTAGCAGCTAATTTGTGGCTTCATGTTTGATTTCAAAGGGTGCGATACAGTCTATTCAATCTTGTTCATGTCGACTGTGATGTTTTGCTCAGCAATAAACTCAGGTGCTATCCCCAACAGCTTTAAAGCTTCGGCGTTTTTGCCATAAAAATTAAGCGCTTATCCCGTAAAAATTAAATGCTTATGCCACAAAAAACATGAGAACCCTTTGGAATTTCACAAAGCACCTGCACCAGAACCCTCCGGAACCTCACAAGGTATCTGCCCCGGAACCCTCCGGAACCTCACCAAGCATCTTCTCCGCCAAAACCCTCCGGAACCTCACAAGGTCTCTGCACCGGAACCCTCCGGAACCTCACAAGGTCTCTGCCCCGGAACCCTCCGGAACTTCATCAGGTAGCTGCACCAGAACCCTCCGGAACCTCACAAGGTATCTGCCCCGGAACCCTCCGGAACCCTCCGGAACCTCACCAAGCATCTTCTCCGCCAAAACCCTCCGGAACCTCACAAGGTCTCTGCACCGGAACCCTCCGGAACCTCACAAGGTCTCTGCCCCGGAACCCTCCGGAACTTCATCAGGTAGCTGCACCAGAACCCTCCGGAACCTCACAAGGTATCTTCACCGGAACCCTCCGGAACCTCACGAGGTATCTGCACCGGAACCCGCCGGAACCTCACGAGGTATCTGCACCAGAACCCTCCGGAACCTTGTCTGGAACTTGGTGTTGAAGCTGCACCGGATCGCACCGGAGCTAATCTGGGCTAGAGACCCCATATATAGCAAAGTTTTGCCGTTGGGGGAAAAAAATCGTCGATGTGCCAAGCGGCGAACGCGCGGCAGGTCTCCAGTTTCACTGTCGATCTACGAATTTGGGCGAGAACGCAGATAATGCAGGGCTGCACCTCAGAGCGGCTGCGCTTCCAAAGTCTTCTAGTTTTTTATGATCGTTTTTATGGTTTATCGCTGTTTATCGTTTTCTCACATGAGTGGCCAAGTGATTCCAATCATGCATCTTCTTTGGGAACCAAACTGCCCCTTGTCCGTGGATCTACATGGATATCCATCAAATTTGACATGAAAATTGGGAACTCACGGCATTCCATTACTCGTATGCCAAGTCACGCTGCAGCTGCAGAGGCAGCACCATGTCTCACCCTGTGGTTCACCTTGTACATCAGCCGTGCCGCAGAATTGCCAGCTGCAGCCGAGGGATTTCACGTAAAAAAAAGCGGGGGGATCCAACAAAAACCATGGATTAACCAACGACAAAAGGGTATTAATAACATTTTATGATATTTTATGGCCATATAATTCATATAGTGATGATCACCGATGTAGTATTATGTATTATTGATCAGCTATAAACATGATGACCAGACTTTCAATGGATTTACAATGACGCAGGGAGGCTTTGGAACATCCGTCCAGCTGAACCTTTGAGACACTCCCGAACAGCTTCCAAAGGCACTCTTAGTTTTCGGGCTTGTTATCACCTCATTTTATCATTTTATTGTATTTTTCTGTATGGTTTTGTCTGAAAATTGGGTACTACCCTCTTTTTCCGATGATCTTCATTTTCCCATCAGCATTCTTTGTTTTGGTAACTATCAGATTCATCCCCTGTGATCCCTCAGTTGTGCTCAATTGGCATGGCATTTGCCCGTGTTTCACTTCATTGCATCGCCACATTGGGGTGAAGCGAAATGGGTCACGGCATCGTGGGTGGAGAGGTAGCTAACCCCGTGGGCAATATAGGAGGTATAACATGGTATAACATGATCTATTTGATCAACAAGAAATGAAATATTTGCAGCACCAAGTTGGGAGGTAATCAAATTAGTCATTAGTCAACGATAAATGGGGAGATAATCAACAAAAACCGGAAAAAAACAACAACAACCAACTGTTATTTGACCATATTTGATCAACAATACAGGGCCTGTGGAGTCTTCATAGTTCTTCCTGGCTGACCAGGCACCAGCACAGGCAGCGTGGTGCCCACTGGGTTGGTTTTTTTTAGTAATGATTTGTACGTATTTTATTTTTAGCCAGATCAGATTAAATCAAAGGGTTTCACTGGTCTGGATATTGTGGTTTTTGCGCAACACCTTGGCACTTCTTTCGGCTGTGGCTCATGGGGAACCCCGCAATCTTCCGAACATCTTGAAACTTTGAAAAAGTTGGAGATTTGTCTTCCAGGTTACCCTCTGGTAATTTAACATAGCTATGGAAAATCACCATTTTTCATGGGAAAATCCACTATTTCTATGGCCATTTTCAATAGCTACGTTAGTTTACCAGAGGGTACGGCTTGCTACAAGTTAACTATCCGACATAGGTTTTCATGTCATGGTCTCTGATTTTCCTGTGGCTCGTGGAGTAAAGCTGAAACAGGATGACAAACACCAGCAGAACAGCCAACATTTTCCTGCAACATTGCCAAGTTTCCATCGACATACCACAATTGTAAACCAACCATCATCATTTATAATCATTTATCATATGCTATATATGCTATATATATATATTATATACATATATTATCATATATTCAATGGATCATCATTTATCATATTCACCAGGTGGACCAAGATCAGGGATATCAGGGATCTATGGCTTGGCGCCGTCAGTGAGAATGGCATCCCAACGCTCAAAGGGCGCCATGAAGGCGACGTCGACCACCAAAGCGCCGGTGATTTCGTTACCGAAGGAGGCGGCGCTTCAGCCGCCGATTCAGCGGTGGAGTTGTTTGAAAGGATAGGGAGTATGATGGCTTTTATTTGGTGGGGATTATATATGGGATTGATATGGGATTTATGTGGGATCTACATATGGGATTGATATGGGATTGATATGGGATTGGTATGGGATTATTCATGATGAATCATCAACAGTGGGAGTTCACCAATACCAAATGGGTCTGAAAATGGATTCAAATCCCAAGCAATTTGGCCATGCGAAATCATGAACTGACCAGTGGAGTCTCCATTGACAAAGCCATACGCCCTTGGGAAAAGACCAGTGGAGATGACTACGGGCTTGCGTCCAACGACGCCAGTTGCCATGAACCAGCAATGGAACAAGTGCATTGGCAGAAAAAAACAACGTCATGCAGACAGTGGTCATGGGAGATTGTGATATCTGGGAAATTTGCAGGACACCGATGTCTTTGATGAAGAGCCCGTGCATCCAGTGAATTGAACCATGGATCACGAACATCCATTGATCACTAAACATCAGCGTGGTTTTTAAGACCCATTCAACCCATCAAACCCGGTACATCCATTAAACCCCATTAAACCCCATTAAACATAGTCAAACCCCATTAAGCCCCTTTTTAATCGAACGGATCTCATGTTAGATTCTTAACTTAAAGACCTGGGCCGCAGGCAGAACACTTCGTGATCCACTCGGATGTTGGGACACCTTCGGCAGCGGAACCACGGGGAACCATCGTGGAACATAGGCGGCTGCGACGACTGCGACTCCTGCGATGGTACTTGAAGCTATTTGCAGAGTATTTCCGACTTCGTGGTTGGTGGTTGATGGTGGTTTGGTGATGGTTTGATGGTGGTTTGATGGTGGTTGATGGTGGTTGATGGTGGTTGATGGTGGTTGATGTCTAGAACGAAGGTCATCACGGCATGGGAAAAAAAAGCCCTGATTCGTGCGACAGGCGCATTTCTGTGTCAGTGCGCAGACGCCGATCCAACGATGTGGAGAGGCGGCCTAAAACTGGGGTTATGGTATGGGGTTCACCAATGGTCAGGGGACATTTTCCATAAAAAACCCATACCACGGAGGGGATCTCGATTGGAAACGCCCCAAAAACCCAGAGCTTTGACTTGACATCTTTCCCATGATAGTCATACGGGACCCCAAACATCCCCAAACCCAATTCCATCATATTTCATCATTGATTAAATCCAAATGTTTCATGGTTTAACCAGGTGAAAAACCAGGTTTTGTTTTAATTGTTTGATGGTTAACCATGCTTGACCACCATTTTTTCCACCATCAGCCTACAGGAAGTCATCTCCCGGTGAGCGCCGTCGCACCAGCTGGGAACCACCAGCTATGGATGGGAGTCAGGCTGTCACGCTCCAGGTAGACTTGTGGAACATGACCCAAAACGATGAGAGTCGTCGGAAGATCTTGGGCCCAATTTTTTGTGCTTCGTAAAGCCGAGGTCCTGCCAAGGGGTCAGCCAGGTCTGCTGGGGCTGGGTGTTTTCGAATCAAACATGGGTGATTTCACTGGGAAAGCTGGGTGTTTTCGTGACATTGATATGGATGGATGATATTTCTGGATGATATTAATGATAGACGAATGGATGGGGATATCATGATATATCATGATATATCATGGGGATATCATGGGGATATGGATGATATTAATGATATATAATAATATATATATATATATGATATCATGGAATCGACAATCTCACGACCTTCATCCCATCCCATGGCATGGCCTTTCGCGGGATCGTCAGGTTCTCAGCAGTGGAACCATCAAAGCAAAAGCCTTGCTCTGGAGGTCCATTCTGGGGATCCCAGGAATGGGAAGGTAATAACCAGATGAAATACCTCAGTTATATATGGACTATCCCCAGTCACATATATATATACATATATGCATGCAGACATACAGACACACAGACATACTTACATACTTACATACATACTTATATACATACTTATATACATACTTATATACATACTTATATACATACACATACATATACATACACATACATACACGTACATATGCTAGACATATGGTCTATATGGGTCATAAAGCAACTCAACCAGCTGTGCTTGGATGTGGCTACAGAAACTGACCACACTCTGTGGCCACATAAGTGCAGCAATGTGCTCTACTGGAAGCATGTCAATGGCATCCTCCATTTGGACGATTCTGATAAGAACAGGTTTTGGATGATTTTGGAGACATGCACGGTCTGCTTCTATAGTGATGACCATTGATGACCAGTGATGACCAGGTCGAGAGTTGTCCCCGCCACAAGAGGAGAGCAGGTGCGGCGTTCTGGGGACGTGGCCGAAGTTCTTAGAAGAGAAATGAGAGAAACTAACAACCCAAAAAGAAATCAACAAATCCAAGAAGGTTGAACAGAATTCAAGTTTCAACCTTTGAACATTTTCCATGAGCATCCCACATGAAGAATGCACTGGCACGGGACGAGAGCAGGTTGGAAGACGAGAGCAGTACTGGAGCTCCAGACTCTCAGAAGTCCGGGACCATGGCTGGACTCAGAGTTCACCCATCATGGATGGCCTCATGGGTTTGATTATGACCATCATGGATTGATTATGATGGATTTTCATTATTATGGTCATAATATGTCATAATCATAGATGATTTTCCTGAATATTATTGTCAGACTTGTCATCCATCATTTAATTTATTGCAGCTTATCATCGTTTATAATTCACTATCAGGTCACTATCATGCACGATCACCTGTAGAGAGATTTCACCAGGATGATCAGCAAGAAAGGGTGCTCTTCAAAGAATTTACCATCTGGTTATTTAACATAGCCATGGAAGCCATGGCCCATTTATAGATGGTTTACCTATTAAAAATGGGTGGATTTTCCATGGCTATGTGAATATTTCGCTTCATTTCTCTTGAATCCCCCGAAACTCTGGGTTTTGTTGGCTCCAAGGAAGGAGGGCCCTCCCTCTGTGGATCGAGCAGATCGAGCAGATCCAGCTCCAAAAGATCGAGATCGAGTGGAGAAGGACTTGGTGGGGTAGCCCATTTTTCGTTTCAGGATGGAAAGGATATTGTTCTTAGAAACACATCGGTGATGGTCAAAGTACTAGGCCGGCCCTAGGAAATGTGAGAATCAGAGATTTTGGTTGTTTGTACATACCATCAACTTTATTAAAGGTGCTGTACCATACTGGACCTAGGTTTGGATGATCTACCCTCTGGTAATTTAACATAACTATGGAAAATCACCATGTTTAATGGGAAAATCCACTATAAATGGCAATTTTCAATAGCTATTTTGACATAACCAGAGGGTACCCAAATCCGGGCAGCAGGTCACAGCGTCTCCTTCCTCCTTGCGAAGAGAGATCGATGTATTGCGATTGCAGGTGCTGGAGGAAACGAAGAAAAATAGGGGAGGTAATCCCACCAGAATCCACCAGAAGTTGGTGAAGACTACAGCAAATTCCAATGGTTCTGGGGATTTCTGGGGTGATAAACCAGCAACACTTGGAATTTGGCATGATTTCACCCCAAAAAATTGGGCGATGCAACCATGAGAAATCGGGAGTTCCACCAGAGGTGGAGATTTCAAAAAATAACGATGGAACTGAAACTGACAGAAGTTTTACATTTGACCCTACATTTGATACAGATTTCCCATCGATATCCCATGGATTGTCATTTTTCCCAGCTTGTTTCCCTTAGATTTTCCACCGGTTAGGTGCAAGCACTGAAGGACGTGCAGGAGCAAACCGCCGAGATCCATTGGAAGGCATAGTTTGACCTTGAAAAACATGAAGAAAGACGTAAAATGGTGGGGGTGGACGGGCATGATTGACATTAACAATTTGAAATCTAGAAAGATCCTGAAAATCATGGAAAGCACGAGGGGTTTGAGATAGTTTTTGAGGTCCTGAGAATCACCGAAATCACCAAATGCATCAGAACTTCATGTCAATATGGTATGGCCGTATGGCTCAAACATTGAGTGCCCCAACATCCAACAGTTGCTATCGGTTCATCATTTTTCCCATCATTTGATGATCATCTTGAGGTATGCTCCACGATTTTGTTGCTTCTATATTCCATTATATTTCCTACAATGTAATTTAGGATTATGATAAGTTCTATGCCACCATCTCGGGTATGTCTTTCTTAAATCCACCATTTCCTTGCCGAACGTCCCCATTTTTTCACGAAAAAATCCGTGAATCCACGAGCTTAGCAACTTGCTCCCACCATGATGGTGAATCATAGCCACTTTCATGGGGAAAATCGGTAGACCTCTCAATTGACTCAGTTTTCCACCCAAAAGTATCTGAGGTGGCCAGGGAGCAGCTCTGTTTGATTGGTTTATTTATGTTTATTTATTAATATAATATAATATAATATGATATATGATATGATATAATATAATATAATATAATATAATATAATATAATTACATATATATATATACATATTATAATATATATATAGTATCTTTTGTCCCCATCAAATCTCTTCCAAATCTCCAAATCTGTTTCCATGTCAGGTCATCTCCAACGTCGTGGAGGAGCGCAACCTCTGGGAGTCACGCTACAAGGAGGCGACCCAGGAGAGTAAAGCTCGGTGCCCAGAAAGGCTGGTTGATTAAAAGATGGGATTGTTTGGCTATGGAATTCAGTGAAAAACTAACATTGTAACATTATATATAGATATAGATATCTCGAATTAATTACATGTAGAGACTACTGTAGAGATGTAGAGATGATACCTATATATATATATTTATCATGTAATATATCTAATTGATTACATGTAGATATGTAGAGATTTTACATACATATGTATATATATATATATATATAATATTATATGTAACAAACACCGGACATGGTTTGCTGAGGATTGCTGATCCATGATCTCTGCTGAGGTCAGCAAGATGGATGCAGCTATCAGGCGCTTTTTTCCAAGTCGTCATTGGCACTTTTTTAATGGGAAAACTTATGTTTTTTTAAAGGTATATCCCGGGAAAACCTATGTTTTTTTTTTTTAAAGGGATATCCCATTTTTGAGAAACAACCATGTGTTGAATTTTTAGGGCCACCAGGATTTTTGCTATGGACCAATTTTTGCATATCATATTGCAACAATCTCGTCTTTCATTCCTTTCCGCTCCCTTGCTGTTCAGTATGACGCCCACACCTGCTGGCTTCTCAGACTGGGGCGATATAACTGAACGCTTGGCATGTGTCTTGATGTGTCTATGAGCCCCATTCTGTCCCTCCAAAAGGGTTGAAAAGGATGAAAAAGGATGGAGAAAGGTAACGAAAAACAACTTGAAAGATGTTGACATATTCATTGATCTTCATTGATCTGCATTGACAATACTTATACCCTCTGATAAACTAACATAACTATGGAAAATCACCATTTTTCATGGGTAAATCAACTAAAAATGGCAATTTTCAATAGCTATGTTAGTTTACCAGAGGGTATTATTAATTGGCTGTTCATTAGATATTTCTGGATCACGTCATCCGATGTTTTTCTGAGGCCAAGTCGGCCCAGCCAGAGACGAGGCGCGACTGAGATTGGCTGCATCCAAAGATGGGAGTTTTTTTTTTTTCGATTTTCCCACATGCAGGGCGGTTTCAATGAGAGAATTAAGCAATTATATATATATATATAGAAATATTATAATAAGAGTAACAATACTAATAATGACCATAGTAATGAGAATAATCCAAAGAAGTAGGGAGATTTTCCCCAGGTCAGATTATGGGATCTTAAATCCGAAAAACGGACAGATTTTGGGCATTTTGGGTGCCCAATTTTCGGAAACATTTGCAAAGTGCTTGTGGTCATAGCTGCTGACAAGCATGCTATCACCCCTTTTATTGAGGTTCTATAGTTAAGTCATATTAGTGGAAAGTTCTACTTTTTAGAATTTAGTATGATTATGCTAAGCATGTGGTTATATATATATACATAGTATATGGTTATCCAACCATTTTAGGATTGTATATATGATTATTCAATGGGGTTATTATATGGGTATATTAGGTATATTACTGGTTACTAGTGGTCCTTCATGGTTATATATATATATGTTATATATGGTAATTCTGTATACAGATGCGCGTCTTAGCCATGGCAGCCCATGGCCCAAAATAAATCCGTGGGATGTTGGGACGAGCGAACTTTCTACAGCTTCAAGTGATGTGATGTGAAGTCCCCCAAACAGGACATTTACCAACATAGTAGTATATATATAGTTATAGTTATAGTTATATATATACATACATATATATATATATATATCCACACACTTATTCCCCTGTAAATATATTCCTTAGGCCAATGACAGCCCCCAGAGATCCTCCACTTGGATCATCCAGTGCTCTACATCCCAGTGGTGAAGAACTAGGGATAATTAATAGCGGTTATAACTATTATATGTCCATTATCAATATCCATATAATGTATGGGATATATTATTAATATCCATATAGTTTTTTTTGTTTATAATTTATATAATATAGTGGATATATTATATGGGATATATCCATTATTTTCATATGTTAATTATAGGGATATGGGATATAGGTTATTAATATAGGCATATGGGATATAAATGGATATAAGTATTATATCATATGTGATTATTATCATAACTACATAGAATATTGAGATATGTCTTATTCCCATATAATATAGGGGTAAATATCAATAACTAGACATCACATGGGAATGGGTCAAAACCTATCACATTGGCATAAAATTCCAGTAACCATCTATTTTAGGGCAGGCTACCAAGGTTTTGATTCATGGCCATATAAGAATATCCCCATTTTTATTTTGATTTTCCAAATTGTTTATAAACCACACCAACTAACTGTGGGTGGATGTGGCTATAAGAGCTGGCCAGACTCTGTGGTTCAAATCCCCATGAAAACCCATCATATAATGATGCGTCGTGACATTTATCACCAGTTTCTCTGTTACTCTCATCAATTTTGGAGGTGATACTCACACACATACATATATACATATATCCAGTATATCACCCTCTGGTTATCAATGTAGCTATGGAAAATCACCGTTTTAAACATGTCAAATCATCATAAATCATCGAACTAAATGGGCCATGGCTTCTGGTCGCAAAGTGTCAAACGACCAGAGGGGAATTCCCGGATGTATCTTCATTTTGGTTGGTAAAATCCCCGACTATCAGACAATCCCAATAAGATGCGTGCAGACAGCACTTCCAGGTCCACCTCTATCAACTCGAACATGGGAAGCAACTTTTTTGTTTTTTTTTGCTGCCGCAAATTCATAGAGATTGTCACTGATGTACACTCTGGTAATTTAACGTAGCTATTGAAAATGACCATAGAAATAGTGGATTTACCCAGCTACAAAATGGTGATTTTCTATAGCTACGTTAGTTTACCAGAGGGTACAACTGGTAGTTTCTCCCAATACAAACATAGGGCTGCAGTAGCGGGAAGCGACTTCCCAATGGAACGGTCCAGGACTGCTCCAACGGCTGCAACGACAGTGATGGCAGCATCCTTGAGCCGTGTGCCGATGACACATGTCACCCGGGAAAGATGGTGAAGCTCTTGGGCAGACAAGACATGTGAAACGTGGTGAAATTATGGTGAAATTATGGTGAAATTATGGTGAACCACTTGGACTTCATATTTAATCTACAAACATGGAAAGGGAACATCATTTTTGCCACTGGATCGAATGAAGTACCCCACTCTTGGACCAATTTTCCAACACCCATCTGAGATAGATACTTGTACCAGCCATTTTGCAAAATTGCAGTTGAAAATCCAGCAGTGCCAGTGGCCAATGCAGTGGCGTTCATGAATTTGAATCAGTTACAGATAGGATTTGGCTACACCCAGCAAAGTTGACGTGGAAGCCATATTCATATCCGTGGGGTTGCATGTCAAGATAAGGGGATATATCATGGTATTTCTACTACTTGGTGCGGGTTGATGACCATGTCATAGCCACTCCAACATTCAGAATCAATGTCAGTAATTGCCAGCTAAAGGCATTTCTGACTATACCGAGCATAGCTGCAATATATTTGTAATATATGCAACACCAAGAAGAACCAGTTTTTTCCCCAGCAAAATAGCAATACCTATATATATATATAGGACCAAGACTAAGAATTCGAGAATTCGTCGATATTTTTGGGAAGATCCTGAAGATCCAGCTATAACATGACTTTCATGTGACAGGTGGTGGACATCCCCAAGATCGATCTCTTTGGTGCCAGGCGAATTACTGGATCCCTGGCGATGAGTGACATTTTCCAGCTTGGGGAGATGTTTTGGTCCTGGAAATTAAAGAAATATGTATGTATATATGTATATATATATATTGTATTATATATATATTATATTATATATATTATATATGTATATATGTATATAGACATCCATTTTACGTACAAAAAATGTCCAGGAAACAGAACGGTTGATTTTGATTCACCTAAAGTGTTGTCAAATAATCCAGATGGCTTTATCTGAAAGTAGGTTACCCCCTGGTTAATCAGAATCACCACTAGTATGGGCACACTGCGGGGTATACCCAATTTTCAACCCAGGTCGTCCTTCGGAAATGGCGGAGATTTCGACCTGGCACACCTGGTTGATTGAACTTTGGAACTGTACAGATACAGTACATCAATCCCAGACACGGGGAACCAGGACAAACTGGCCCC